TTCAAAGAACCCATTCAAACCCTGAGCCCTGGCCTACAACCTAATTCGTTGTGCCTGGCGATAGTTACTCCTATCTGGGGACTTCCTGAGGCCAGAGGGGTGTGGCAGGAGAGCAGGAGTAAAGTGGTCTTCTGCTTTGAACTTCAGGCCGGGGAATTTAGATGTCCTTATCTAGAGCCATCATTCATTCATTCAGCATTTATGAATATGGCTCAACCATATTTCAGGCATGTATTTTTAGAGAGAATAGAGCATGGGCTTGGGGGGCAAAGAGATCTAGATCAAATCCTGGCTCTGTGCCTTCGCATCTGGGTGGCTTTAGGTCCTCTTTGAGTCTCGTTTCTTCTTCTGTGGAAAAAAATGCAGCTAATGCTTGACTTCAGGGCTGTTGGGAAGTGCAGTAACGTATGTGAAGAGCCGCATAGTGGCATCTGGTCGGTAGTAGACACTCTGAAAGTGGTGGCCTATTTTTTAATTGAAGTGTGATTCACATAAGACAAAATTCACCATGTTAACCACTTTAAAGTGTGTACAATTCAGTGTTCTACAAACATCATCACTATCTAATTCCAGAAAATTTTCATCACACAAAAAGAAATCCCTGTTACCCATTAAATGGTCACTTCTCATTGCCCCTTTCCCCTATGTCCCTGGAAAACATGAATCTACTTTCTGTCTCTGTGGATATACCTATTCTGGGCATTTCATATAAATGCAATCATATATCATGTGGCCTTTTTGTCTGGCTTCTTTCACTTAGCATAATGCTTTCAAGATTCATCCATGTTGTAGCAAGTATCAATACTTTATTTCTTTTAATGGCTGAATAATACTCCACTGCATGGATATACCACATTTTGTTTATCCATTCATCAGTTGATGGACAGTTGGGTTGTTTCCACCTTTTGACTATTATGAATAATGTTGCTGTGAACATTTGTGCACAAGTTTTTGGTGGACATGTTTTCATTTCTCTTGAGTATATACCTAAGAGTGGAACTGCTGGATCGTATGGTTATTCCGTTTAACCTTTTGAGAAACTGCCAAACTGTTTTCCATAGTGGCTGCACCATTTTACATTCCCACCAGGAATGTATGAGGGTTCCAGTTTCTCCATATCCTCCCAACACTTGTTATGTTTATTCTCTGTTCTTTGCATATGCTTACTGGTATAGCCTCTCTTTATTATTCTTTCACTAAACATTTTTTTTGATGAGTCCCTATACTGTATGGCCAAGCCTGTGATATGGGCCCTGCCCTGTGGTTACCCACACTCCAGTAGGAAAGGCAGACCTCAGAACAGGTGATCGCAACACAGTTAAGAAAATAGGCTACAGAGAAGGTATGTATGAGGTGTAATGGGACCTTAGAGGAGGAAAGAGGAGCTGAGTGGAGGTTAGGTGGAGTTTGTCTAACAGAAAGGAAAGGAGGGGGCGTTCCAGTTAGATGGAGGGGGCGTGGAGCTTTGGGTATAGCCGGTGGGTGTTGGGCTCCTGTCATCATATGGGGAGTAAGGCTCTCTCAGGTGTCTCCCTTCTCAAGCCAGGTGGCTGAGTAGGTCTCCACCTCCAGGGGCAAGCCTGCAGCAGCCCGGGGCCAGCCGCAGGCTCTGCTGAGCTTTGTCATCTGCTGTAAGTACCAGACTCTTGTTACCTTCAAGGCACATATACTCAGCTGATTTGATCCCACTTGAGGTCAATATTCTGTCTCCCTTCCTACGGAAAGAGATCAGTGATGCTCATTGACACAGCAGCTTGCCTGACTTCTCACATCTACCATGTAGCAGAGCTGGACTTGGAATCCAGGCTGTCTGACTTTTCCACACCTGCAGGCTGAACCTCAGTTCTTCTTACCTTAGCGTTCAAAGCCAGTTATTCTCCAAGCCCCAGCCACCTTAACTTTCTCTCTCACCTTTTCTTCCTGCCTATAACTGAAGCCATCTTTTGTAACCATTCCGGTCTAAATGTTTTTGCAATCTTTCTTTTTTGGTTTCTGTCCTTTACCCCTCTTCTTGCCGTCAATAAATGGCTGTCCTTTTATGTACACTGACGGTCCAAGTGCTATTCACTCCGCTCAAGTTCTTAACACACAGAATTGATCATCTTCACGGCATCCTGGCAATGTGAGTAGGAATTATTTACTTCAGGTCACAGATTAGGAAACAGGATCAGAGAAGTAAATTAAGTTACTCAAGACCACCCTGTAAGTAAGGAGTCTAGTTCAAAGGGCCCTTCCTCTCAAACGCCTGCCATGGTTACACTGACCAAAGTGATCTCCCTTGCCCCCAAGATCCTAAAGCAGTTACTTTCCCCTTATTCACATTCAGTGTTTGAGATCTTATCTCAATCTTATTTGAGGGCTTTTCTTTTTCGTGGGTCTTTATCTTGTGTCCCCTAACCCGGTGTTCATTCTCAGTGCCCCGGGGCCCCAGCCAGATCCTGCAAGTGTAAATTCTCAGTAAATGTTAAGCGGAGGCATAGGAGGAAAAGCTCTGAACTCTGGTTGCACAGTCTGAGTTCTCATGCTGTTCATGTTATGGCACTAACTTCTGTGACCTTGCACAATGATGTGCTCACCAGAATGGGAACGCCGCCTGTCTTGCTCCCCCTGTATCCCTGGGCCTGACTGCTGGGTAGACGGATGCATGGATTTACCATTTGGAACCTCATCTCCATTTTGAAAGGGTTAAGTGAAGTGATCTGAGGATTGCTCCCAGTTGAAATACTGCCCAGTTTTGTGAGCCTGAATGACTGCTTCATCTCCATACCAGCATGATTCTCAGCTACAGAGCTTCAGCTCAGGGAGGCAGAGCATAGCTTGTCATTTCTAGTTCGGTGGCTACATCTCAAATTTTTGCCCTTGACCTTGTCAAACTGAAGACTAACCCAGGAGCTTTGCCTCAACACATTCAGAAGTCCTAAAACCACCCTCTCACCCTCTATATCCCTTTCAGTTTCTCTCCCTCTTTTTTCACGTGTGAAAACACCCACCCATCCCATTTCAGGATAATTTCATTTGGAGCACCTTCTTTAGGTTTTATATTTTAGCAGCTTTTTGACTTAGAAGGAATGGACAGTGATTTACAGGAGGTGAGCTACTGCTCTTTTAGAAAGACCACGGTCCCTGTTGTTCTTGCCTAACCCATTGGGTGTATTTTATAGGTACAAAGAGAACAAGAACAAGAACAAGAACTGGCCTTTTTGTGAAAACTAGAAGCCTAGGATTGCTGCTCCACTAGTGGGCAATGGCATTTTCATCTGTGATCAGGAGGGGTTGTTAACATGACCACCTCTTCTTTTGGGGGGCATTTCCCTTACACTAGATACCCTTCTTAAGTCATTCCTTTGTTTTTGTTTTTTTTTATTTTAATTGTATCTTTATCCACCTTATGCTTAGGGAAATAAAACGATTCTGAGCCTGTTGATAATACCAGTTTTTACATCCTGTTCATTGAGTGCCTAGTGTGTACCAGCCATGCTGTGTGGTTCAGTGTGTGAAGCATTGTCGCTGTCGTCCCCACACTTCTTTATAGAGGAGACACCTGAGGTCATGCGATTAAGACCTTGTTGCTCCCTCCCCGCGCCCTGTCTCGGAAGACCTGAGCTTCACGCTGAGGCCTCTCTGATACTGCAGTCCCACCCTTGACCAGCTGGGGCTCCATTCCTACGATACATTTAGGAAGATTTGGCATTTGACTGCATTCTGGAATAGTTAGGTGCTTACAAGCTTCCTTTTCAACTTTGCTAACAAGTCGTGAGGAGAGAAGCCTGGACTGGGGGAAGTGTAAGAGCATGTTCAACACACACACATACATGTGCACACACACTCACGCATAAAGACCCTGAGAGACTGAACTGAACCACTCCCTGGCCACATGCCGCATCCAGCATTGGGCAACATGCTACAAACTACATTTAAGATATAGCAGCAGTGGGAACCTTTGAGGAGTAAGAAATAGTAATTCCCAGAGTCCCAGTTCAGCCCCAGCAAACAGGACCTCAAAGTATTTACCACAAGGGCCAGTTCCAGAGCATGTTCGAGTTTCTACCTCTGGAACTGTCCTCTTTGAATTTTTACTGATGACATCTACAGTGAGAGACAGATCTGGGAAGTAAAGTTTGAAATCTGTGCAAGAGAAAAATAATTCTCTTTCAGATTATCTGAAGTTGAATTTAAAGAATAAGAAAGTGAGGAGTAGTATCCCTTTGTATTTGTGTAGCACTTTTGTAGTTTGTAATGCACGTCAGTGTGTGTTGTTATCACACGTAAGCAGTGGTTGAGATGCCAGAGGCCTGTTTCCCACTCCTGCCTCTTCCTCAGACTCACACCCTGGGCACGCGCCTTCCATCCTCACCTGTAAGATGAGAGAGAGTTGGGCCACTTGGTCACTGAGGCCCCCAAAACTCTGTCATTTCATTATCTGATACCAGTAAATGTTGCTAGTTACTCTTCCTGTATCTGTCTGAACTCAGCCTGTCTTGTGTCTGGGCTGTGGGGAGGCTGTACCTCAGCTCCAGTTCAGGCTTTATCTCCATAAGAGCTATCATCCTTTCATGCTCATCAGTACCTGAGCGGGCAGAAACCCACCAGGTTTTCCTGGGAGATCATTTGCTTAGAAATATCTCAGTTGTTGAGGGATTCATGTGCTAGTTAAGTTAAAACCAGACAGCAATCTAAGGGCCATTCCAGTTCCAAGATTCTAGAATTCCATAAAAGGCCACCCTTGAAGATGTACTTAGGGAAACCCCTCAGCAAATTCACTGGGTGCTATTTCAACGCTTTGTGTGGTGGTGCCTTTAGCATATACCCTTGATCCTAGAGTTTGATCTGCACTGCTGCTACTGCGAGCCCTGCATGTAGAAGGGAACAAACATGTCTTGGGTTTGTTTGCTTTCCCTTTTTAACTGGTCTGGCCTCAGACATTCTCTAGTATTTGAGGTTATGGGCATTTTGAGCATTTTGACTCATAATGAACCTTATTCTCTTGATATGCATTTTAGAAGACAAATCTGACCTTGAAAACAGTGTGATGCAGAAGAAAATAAAAATCCCCAAACTTTCTCTCAATCATGTCGAAGAAGATGGGGAAGTTAAAGATTATGGGGAAGATTTACAGCTTAGACACATCAAGGTAACAAAATCTTTCCTCTTCTTTGGAAGTATGGGGCAGCAGATTTCTTATAGCTGAAGAATTCCAGTCTGGCCTCCTCTGCCCATGTAAATGCCCCCTGGTGTCACAGGCCATGACTTTTTCACATTGGGAGAGGCTCGGGGCGGCTAGTGTGAGTTTGCTCTGCTGGCTGACTTTCCAGGGAGCGCTGTCCTGTTTGTACCATCTGTGCAGTGTCATCGCTGCTGAGGGTTGGGAACGGTGCATTTCCGACTGGCCTCCAGCTCTGGAGAGGTCCCTGCTAGGCTCCAGGAACATGGCTGCTCTTGGGCAGCAGTTCAGAGCCAGTCACTATCAGGCTGCCCCCAAACAGCTAAGGGTGGACTCACGAGGGGATGGGGTGCGCCAGGCTCAGACAGGGGGCTTAATGCGACCTTGGTTTGGAAGAACGCTTTTGCGTGAGGTTGCATTTCCTTTGGTCTGCGCCCTAGTTGCTCTTCTCCAGCCTTTGCTTGTCAGCCTGCTGAATATCTTGTTCGATAAGCCAGGTGCTTTTTCTGTGCGATGGGTGCCCTGGAGGAAGGGGGGAGGAGGGATGCCTTCTGCGCTGACTGCAGTCTGCTTTTGGACACAGGCCAAGGACATCCCCAAAGCGTAGTCCAAAAGATGCGGTTGAGTTTAGTTCATGCATTCATTGCACCCGTGCTGTGGGCCTTGGCCCTTTGCTGGTGCCTGGGGTCATAGAGATTAGACAGACATGGTCACTGCCCTTAGTGGTCTCACAGTGTAGTGATGCAGATGGGTATCCAAAGTGATCATTACAATTTTAATGAATAAACTCATCTAGACTACCAGCAGCACTTCTTTATCCCAGTGGATAAATGACAGGATAGCATTTTGTCATGTAACCTAATCTCAGAGTCATGTTTTTTTTTTTTGTTTTCTTCCAAAATTTTCAGGAACTCATTGAGAGGTTAAGGCAGGCTTGACTGGGCACAGTCAAGTTGTCTGGAATCTGGTATCTCCAGCTGTCTGCATCTCCCACAAGTGCCCCCATCAGGAGAGCTCCTATAGCCCTCCTGCACTGGTCCTATAACTCCCACTTCCCCTCAGTGGGAGCTTGGTCCACTTGAGCTGGAATTGCCTCAGGCAGCTGAAACCCCAACCCCTGGGTAGTCCTAGATAATTCTCTTCTCACTACACTGTCCTCTGTATCCGCTTCTTGCTGAGCTTCAACTTGGCCAGACTCCAAGGAGAGGCGAACACGTGTGGGGGAAGGAGCCTAGTGCTCTAAGTCGGGCTTCAGGTTCCGGGGTCTGACTCTCTCTGTAGCTCACCGTGTGACCCTGAGTGTAGTCCTTCCCCTCTCTGAGCCTCAGTTTCCTCACCTATAAAATGAGGGAGTTAAACAGAAAGAACCTTCCAGTGCTAGCGTTCTTTGAACTTTTCAGTTACGTAAACATTTATCCAGCCCCTGCCAAGTGCCAGTTCTGAGTAGGCAGTGGAGAAACAGAAAATAAGACATGATTCCTGCCCTAGATTAGAGTCCTTAGCATCCTTCCCAACTACAGCATTCTTGAGGAAAAGTTTACTTGGTGGAATGCCCTTTTTTTGGTGGGGGGGGGGGGAAG